AAGGTGAAATTAAAAAATAATAAAAAAAACAAGCCACTGATGCAGACCTTTGGAACATCTACATTAAAAAAAGTCTAATAAATCCATGTAATATAGCATACACCTTCACAATAAATCCAATATTTATTTTAGACAGGTCTAAAGAAGCATGATATGAAGAAAATGTAGTCTATTTCAGAAGAACAGAATAGCATACTCTGAGTTGTCCTTATGTTAGGTCCTTATCTGGCAATGCCAAATGGCTGTGGGCTACACTAGTTCATTTAGCAGACAAGATTTGCTTAAAATTCTGTGGCATTATTTTGTATTATTTTATAGTATGAATAATACAATTGAACAAAGATGAATAAAATAGAAAGGATATTTTCTCCAAACGATTTGAGGGAGTGCGCACATGCGGCTATTCTGTGTTGAGCAGTTAACAAAGAAATAGGTATTCCTATATGCTTAATTTAGAGTTAAGAATGTAACTTTAATTGTTCTACAAATGTTGGGCTATATGTTTAGATTTTTAATACATTGTAAGGCTGCATGATGCGACTCTAATGATTTGAAAGGCATGAGCACTTGATAATACCTCGAATTTCACAGCGGCATCCCCTTTGTGTGGCCGTAATGCAACCTAAAAAAATCCATGAATTTTGCGGCCAGTGGCCGTTGTGCCCTTGGCCCGGAGTGCTGCGTTGTGCCCCTCTCCCTGAGTGCTGCGCGTTCCGAAGCACTTCTCACTCACATGGCTCTCCATCACGTGATCAGGTCTTACTCACAGGCTACAAGTGAAGGCAGACACATCGGGTCCTTATCCAATTCCGAGGTGCATATTGAAGATATTGGAAGAACTGTCCACATTTACTTTTGTCAGCCAACAAGATGAGTAGGCGTAACAAACAGCAAAAGCACTAGCCAATGTCAATCTACTATACCCCATAGTACAAAAGTTGACCTATTCTATTCTGTGCAATAAATAAATATTCCAAACATAGTCTGGGACAGTTGTGGGATGCGCTAGATCCCAAATTAATACAACGACTAGCATCCCAAAAAATGTTTTTACACAATGTGGCTGACGCAACAGATCAGAACATTTAGCTTTAAATGTTGGTAAACTATTAGGCTATTTCTTCACATTATGAGCGCAGCACTGCGCACATGGCAGTAGGCTATAAGCACAAATGTTCCATTAGCGGGAAAACACCATTATCAAAAGGGAAAACACCATTATCAAAAGTGACCGCAAATGCGATTATGCATGTAATGCTTTTATTATAAAGGTGCATTTTTATGGTGAAAATTATCTTCCCCAAACTTGAAACTCACGCTCTGCTTATGTATGCCAGTTAGGCTCTACACCCCTTGTAAAGCGGATTATTGTACCTAATTTTAAGAAGTTATTTGGCCACTTTACTTGTGATACAAACCTTATTAAAACATATAATTTAGGACTATGGGCTAGGCTACATGAGGTGTGCGACTATGATTCGAATGATGCTGCTCATCATTCACAAGTGATAATATATCATTCACAAGTGATAGGCTAATATTGTCACCCATCAGACTATTCTTGATTTAATCTTTACATATACTAAATAATATATGTGTGACATTTATTTGATTTAGAATGGACCATTATCATGCACCTGTCTCGAAACAGGGGCAGCAGGAAAAAACACGTAATCTACGCACTTAAATAGCAAATGGAGGACTCTTTTCCCGTGATTCATTTTCATGCCAGCCAGGTAGGCTATACTCCTGTTGTAAAGATAAGCAATATGCTTAATATTAGGAAAGTTGAGAAATATATATATTAGGCCTATAGAAAGCTGATGGGATCCTCCTCTTTTTAATAGAGGCCATCACTCTGTTTTCTCGCGCAATTGCATAGCCTATAGAAATGTTGCGCAACATGAGCTCATGGGCTCTCATGAAGTGTGATTAGATTCTCGATTACATTTTAATTGATGTCAGAGTGATTAGAGGGACAATAGAGTGCTGAGTACCAGGCAGTTAGCAAGTTTGGTAGGCTACTAATGACCATCAGCAGCATCAGAGCTTGGAGAAGCCTAATTACCGTGACTAAACGGTCATGTGGAATTTGACTGCCTTCATGACTCGTGACCGCCGGTGTGGCGGTAATACGGTCACTGCAACAGCCCTAGTGTAGATCACATCTCACATTCCAGTGTTCGAACTTGTAAACAAGGCTGCATGAGATTTCTCTTAATGCAACTCCGTGCAGCCAATGGCAATGCCTGCTTTAGGTATAATGCCAGGAGCCGCTTGTGGATTTGACAGCTTTAATGCTGTTCCACCTTTGACACTGCCAAAACAACTGCTTTTCGGGTGTCGACTAGCGTGGATCTGGTAGAATCTAGCCCTTAGTCTGAATTTATATCAATGATGTCGCTCTTGCTGCTGGTGACTCTCAGATCCACCTCTACGCAGACGACACCATTTTGTATACATCTGGCCCTTCATTGGACACTGTGTTAACAAACCTCCAAACGAGCTTCAATGCCATACAACAATCCTTCAGTAGCCTTCAACTGCTCTTAAACACTAGTAAAACTAAATGCATGCTTTTCAATCGAACGCTGCTAGCACCCGCCCACCCGACTAGAATCACCACTCTCGACGGGTCTGACCTAGAGTATGTGGACAACTACAAATATCTAGGTGTCTGGTTAGACTGTAAACTCAACTTCCAGACTCACATAAAGAATCTCCAATCCAAAGTTAAATCTAGAATCGGCTTCCTATTTCGCAACAAAGCCTCCTTCACTCATGCTGCCAAACATGCCCTCGTAAAACTGACTATCCTACCGATCCTTGACTTCGGCGATGTCATTTACAAAATAGCCTCCAACACTCTACTCAGCAAATTGGATGTAGTCTATCACAGTGCCATCCGTTTTGTCTCCAAAGCCCCATACACTACCCACCACTGTGACCTGTACGCTCTTGTTGGCTGGTCCTCACTACATGTTCGTCGTCAGACCCACTGGCTCCAGGCCATCTATAAATCACTGCTAGGCAAATCCCCGCCTTATCTTAGCTCATTGGTCACCATAGCAGCACCCACCCATAGTCTGCGCTCCAGCAGGTATATCTCACTGGTCATTCCCAAAGCCAACACCTCCTTTGGCCGCCATTCCTTCCAGTTCTCTGCTGCCAATGACTGGAACGAATTGCAAAAATCTCTGAAGCTGGAGACTCTTATCTCCCTCAATAACTTTAAGCATCAGTTGTCAGAGCACCTTACCGATCACTGCACCTGTACACAGCCCATCTGAAATTTAGCCCACCCAACTACCTCATCCCTATATTGTTATTTATTTTGCTCTTTTGCACCCCAGTATCTCTATTTGCACATCATCTCTTGCACATCTAGCATTCCAGTGTTAATACTATTGTAATTATTCTGCACTATAGCCTATTTATTGCCTTACCTCCATAACTTGCTACATTTGCACACACTGTATATATATTTTCTGTTGTATTTCTGACTTTATGTTTTTTTTACCCCATATGTAACTCTGTGTTGTTTTTATTGCACTACTTTGCTTTATCTTGGCCAGGTCGCAGTTGTAAATGAGAACCTGTTCTCAACTGGCTTACCTGGTTAAATAAAGGTGAAATAAAAAAATAAAAAAAATAAAAAATTCTCCTGATATGGGCATTGCAAAGTAGCTTTAGTAGCCATTTCTTTACATGCTCATGTAACTGGTAGGTTGTGAACCCCAGACTCCCGCTCCGGAACCAAACATCTTAACCATTTCACCAAAAAAATATTCTGTCTTTGGCCGAGGGTGGTTCAAGTCACAGTCAAGGCTACCTCATCACTAGAACATTTTAACTAGCCTCTGCTATACTCATCCTATAAGTGTTTCTGTTAAACCTTTTGGTTTTCAGGAGATCCAGAGCGAGAAGTATAAGCCAGAAATATGACTTTTAAAAATCAAAGAAGTATAGGCGATTACTTTTTGTAGATTAATGGTTTGTAAAATAGTGGTACAGTCTGCAGCCTTTTAGTAAAATGTCTGTAGTGGCTCCATATATACATATTTTCTGGCTACATAAATCTACCTCTGTGCCAAATTTGGAGCCTTTATCTTAAAACAGTCTTTCGGAATTCCAAAAGTCGGCATGCATTTTGAAAAATGTCTGCCACGCCCCCTAGGGGCAAAATCTGGGGTGGCTCCTTATCTGAATCTTTTCAGGGTACATAAATATACCTCTGTGCCAAATTTGGTGTGTTAATCTCAAGATAGGCCTTCTGAACTGTAAATTGTATTACCGTCTGTGGACATTTCATAAGATGACTGCCAAGGCCCCCATGGGTCAAATCTGTGGTGGTTCCATACTCAAATCTTTTCAGGGTACATTAATCTACCTCTGTGCTAAATTTGGTGCGTTTACCTAAAAAAAGGCCTTCAGAACTCCAACATTGTATTACAGACAGTGGCCATTTTTAAGATGGCCACCACAAATACGTTGTGATTCCATATCTAAATATTTTTAGGCTACATAAATCTACCTCTGTGCCAAATTTGATGTGTTTATCTCAAAAAAGGCCTTCAGAACTCTAACATTTTATTACCTACAGTGGCCACACACACACAGAAACACACACACACACACACACACACACACACACACACACACACACACACTAGATAAACAGACAGAGAGAATCGCAAAGTTGTTTAAAGTAACTGTCCAGTGAAAATTCTGTTCATATTCTGTTAACTCATACCCAATGTTGTTGACTCATCCTATACTCGTATTTGTGGCAAGGGAATTAAAAATAATAATTAAAAAAACACCTCAAACTAATATTTCTAATGACCGCTATACACCCACACCATTCTGTTGTTGGGGTACGCCCACACTATTGCAACACAGAAAAGCTGCTTTTTAACATACTTAATTACCATTTTTTGGAAGGAAAGCTATTTCACTCATATTGTAATTAATTATAGGTCATATTTCAGAGAAATCTGGAAACACTGGACAGTTACTTTAAGCTTTTACAAAAGCAATAAGGCAGGTTTTAATTGGTCACCATCTAAATTAAAATATCCTATGTCTGATATTTAGTTTGATCACAGCTAAAACATTCTCTTAATAATACAATGATAATAATAACAGGGCATGCAACAAAACACTACTTGTAGTGGGTGACCTTACTTGTCGTAATACTTGGCAATTAAATCTGTTATACATCTCAATCAGATTAGTCTCACAGAGTAATCCCGGTTTAACTAGTTTTGTTAAATTAAAATGAAGTCAGTAATTCAGTGGAATTGCTTCCAGTTGTCACCCTGTACTTACCCAGACACCTCACAAAATGTCTGTTTTTCAAAGTCCATAACTCTGTTGCCTCTGGCTGGGACACATTGGACACATATTTGTCACAAAATGCAAAACACTGGAGAGAGGTCTTGTGATGTCACCTTCTGTCCATCACAAAATGGCTCAAACACCTCGAAACAGCAAACACATTTCTGAAGTAAATGATGTCAAGAACATGCACAAGAAAAACATATTCATGCTTAATAAAACAGAGCTAGAATAGTTATAAAAATAAAACACTAAATACTGGAGTGCTGCACAATGTCACAGCACAAAATCTAGGAAGCAGAACAGTCCTTTTTCCTAAAACATATAGCCTATTGACTGAAAATGTGAACAAACGTTCTAATGCTTGGGATGGATAACACTTTAGTTCTTCAAATCCACTCAAAATCCATTCAACTGTCCTTTGGTTTGAGTGTTTGGAATGGTATTTAAGCAGTGGGTCTCTTGATGGCCTCAGGGAATGTTGAAATGATGTAAACTCCATTGTCCAAATGGTTTAGTTACATATCTTCTCTGTCATTGCTCTCTGGGGGCAAAGAAAAAAGAGGAGAGACAGGCAATTCATATGATATTGACAAATGTCCAGTAGATGGCCCAGGCTTAATTTATAGTAACAGACAGTACCACACACCTACTGGCACGCTGTATGAGGCAACAAATATTTTCGAACAGATAGGCTACAATAAAGTCATCATCTGATGAGAAATCACTCGGCTGTTTCCATCTTACCTCTAGTCATCCAAAAGCAGAAAAGCTAAACGCTCAGTCTATTACACCATCTTATGTTAACAAGGATTATTTCCCCACAGATTGTGTTGTTTTCATAGTATCATTACTTATTCACCGGGGGAGAAGTACCAGGCAGTGGATGATAACAGAGGCCTTTTATTGTACCTCGGAGCTCATACCTCCATCTGTTAAAATGTAATGAAGCTCTCTGTACTACAGAAAACAACTTGAAAGTGACATGATTCTCACTTATGGCTGGCTAGACTGCAATTTCACTTATGATGGTTATATAAACCAAACCAGATTTTTTACAAAGAGTTTAACAAGTTTCTTTTATGATGCAAACTGGGGAAATAAGTAGTGCATCATTAATTCCAATGACTGTGCCAAAGAGAAAATGAAAGACACAGCTATCGTATAATTATCTTATACTAGACTGTGATTTAGTAATATGCTCTATGCCCAGAGTTGATTCTGTATAATCACCCAGCTTATGTGGTTTGCGCAGACACTCAAAACAACATGTTCTGTTGTGGTGTGAAATAACGCGGACAATACACTGCCTCTGTTTTATGAGGGAAAATATAAGCTCCTCCCTAATTTGGTTATGGCAAAACTAGTCTGAATAATTGCAATGTGAAGGATATTCCCTCATAAATGAATACCCAGACACCCCCCTACCCCTGTCCTAAATATGAACATATAGGACATAGAAATGGAAACCTCCCACCCAAGCTCTATCTAAGGATACGTCCCAAATGCCACCCTATTCCATATTTAGTGCACTACTTTTGACCAGGGCTCAGAGGGCGCTGATCAAAAGAAACACACTGTATAGGAAATAGGGTGCCATGTGGAATGCAGACCAAACCTGCTATTATCCCCAAATCCCTCTCTCTAGCCCCCCCCAACCCCCCCCCCCCCCCCCCCACACCCACAACCCACCCCTCCTCTCTCTGGCCCCAGTTCCATCCATTCACCCCCACACCTCCTTTCTCACCAGGGGCTCCAGTTCAGAGTGCTCGATGAGGCTGAACTCGGAGATGAAATAATAGTAGTGTTTGTAGCAGGTATTGATGTGGGCCTCAGCGCCCATACTGCAGATGCTGTCAAAGTGGTGGATGTAGACGTGTACAAAGACCCGGAAGAGACGGCTCAGGATCTTCTTACACACCTGCTGGAAGTTCTTAGGGAAAGGAACACCTGGGGCCAAAGAGGATAGAACTGTCAGTGAGGAAGTCTGCCACCCCCTTAGATTCATTTTAGAGACCATCCCTGGATGCAGTAATGAAAATCAATTTGTAACTATCAGAATGAATTTCACTTAGCATTTAAGCTATCACATCAGTTGCCATTGAATATCATTCAAACCACACTGGACATCAGTATCCTATACTGTAGGAAAATCACATACTGTAAAATGTCTCTCTGCAGCCCACAACGCAATTACATGTTAATTTGATAGATTATGCATGCACATAATCTCCCTCCTCAAACAGAGCTTGATAACAACCCTTTGATAATTAACAATAGACTCAGAGTACCCCATTCAATTTCTTCTTCTTCAGAGTGCAAATTATGCCGTGACATTCGGGGGAGCCTCACTTGGGAATGTTTTTATGGGCCTAACAATAAAGATGTCATTTAACAGTAAAAAATGTATTACATTTTAATGTGGCATGAACACAACCAGTGATGATGTTTTCATCTGATTGTCAAACAAATCACTTCAAGAAGTAGGCTAACTGCGGCTGCAGACATTTGTCCACTCCAAAATAATTCCAGCATCCAAACAGTGCACACTGTACACTTGCCATTTGATAAATGGAAAGAGACATCTGTTACAAACACATAAATGTAATGGCATTTGTCGATCGTCATTAGGCCTACTATAGTGGTGTGCATTCATGGATGACAAGGGAAGCCATGCTTCCCCAAAAATGTGAACAATATTTTATTTCTATTTTTATGAAATAATTTTTCAAAATGTTCCTTCAATTCGCAAGTGGCTGAATCTATCTCACCGGAGAAAGCATCATGTATGGCATGTCATACTCTTTTTGGCCAGACAGCATCAGATACATGGGCTACACATACTGAGACAGAGGGGTGCAGTTTTGCTCACTCGGATGCTTTCTCCAGTGAGATTGATGCATCTTGTTGTCGACATGTCTTGGTCAAATTATAAATATTTAGAGACTTAGAAAGTTGGACTTTTGTTGCCTTTAGAGGAGCTCATGTCTCATTCAGGGGAGCTTAGCTCCACCTCACCCTCATTGTATAATCAACCTATCTAATTAACCTTTCCTTGAACCTTTCTAGATCCATTAAAGACACTGTCAGAGAGAGTGGAGCATGAAGCAACATCACAGATGTATTCACTATCCTAGTTGGGAACCACTGCCTTACACACCTACTCTCGTGGGGAAGATGTCCTCATTGTTGATGTTTGTCTCTATCCAGTCCATCAGAAGGTTCATGTATTTCAAGGCGGGCAGCTTGGTGGGCTTCTTGTAGTCGTCCCCATCCTGCCACCGGTACTCGTAGCGCAGGCCCCCCGACATGATGGGGCAGGTGCGCTCGGTGCAGAACTCGCTGACCGTGCCGTAGATCAGGTTGATCCGGTTGAAGAAGTCCACCACGTGCACAGCGATCCAGTCGTTGATGTTCTCTCCTTCGGGAAGCTGGACCACTTTCCTCAGGTCCAGGCCTGACTTCAGAGAGGCCTGGGCCTTCTTGTACAGCTCAAAGCGCTGGGTCCCAGGCTCAAAGCGCTTCCGAGGCCTAAACGTTTTGTCTTTGCTGAAGACTTGTCCAAGACAGAGCGCCATTGTCTTAATGGTGGACTCTATGGTGAGGCGTGGGCCTAATTGTTAGTGTGTGTGTTGGGTAGGGGATTCCTGAGCATGGATTGGACAGGTTTAAAAAACATACGTTTGTTCAGGTTGCAGGTCTCTGAGGAGTTGTTCTTATTCAGAGGGCAGTGACCTCTACATTGGGGATGATTGAGAATGGAGGGACCCCTTCTCTGAGACATAGAGAAAACAAAATAGGTCATGAGAGGTTAGAGAGGCGCGTTCACAATGCTATCATGCCTGCAAACAAAGTGTTTAATAGATCAGAATCAGGCAACATGATAGAAATCAGGAAATGAAAACAGCAAAGTATAAACAATACTGTAAGCTTGTTTACAAAGGGAATAGCTTGAAGGACTTGATGAGCAAAGCATGTTGTGATTGTGAAACTGCTCGGAATAGAAAAATATGACCCCAAATATCAGGTAAGAAGAATCCATTTGCGGAATTCATTTCTGGTGGCCACTATTTTCTGGTGGCCACTATGCGTTGAATGTTACAAGACTAACAACCATCTGGTCCTTGAAATAGGTCCAGTGTGATCTAATACTGAAATCAGATCAGAGGGGATAGCCAAAGGTAATTGTGTAAATTAAGAGAATGCTGCACTTCATTAAGACATTTTGGGTAGCGTTGTGAAAGCGTTGTGAAAGGGTTCTTTATGTCATCTTTAGACATTTAGATGTAACTTCTTGAACTTTCCACCAAAAGCAGCTATCCACATGCTCAACATTAACTATGCAGAACACTACCTCTCACTGGTCATACAACTCCATTGGAGAAAATCCACTTTAGTACACTGCCTCAAGTTCAACTACAGCACCATGAGTTGTCTAACACCTTTGCCATTGACCTGATACAACATTGACGGAGATGGAGAAATCTACTCTGCTGTAGGGATGGACAGGAACAAAGCAGATAAATACTGTAATAGCATCATACATCCAGTCATTATTAGCTATTAACCATCTGGCAGATAATGGGGAGATAACTTTGCAGTGTCCTGGACTGATTAAGGGTCAAACAGCCTGAATGGGTTTGACATTTTCCTTTCACACAGTGAATGTTGCAGAGGGACAAAATCTATTAGACTAAATTGTTTTTTTTTATCATAAAGGTTAATAACAAATGATTATCAGTATCAGAATATCAGTATGAAAAAAGGAGATGAAGGGGGTAGGGGGAGTCATTTAGAGGGATGAGTCATCACAACAACTGGAATATCAATCAAGTCAAGCGCACCAGAGAGAAGAGAAGAACTGATGGTGGATCAGATCTTACTGAGAACTCCCAAGCAAAATACCGCAGCTCTGCCTTTCCGAATTATAGATGGAGTTCAGTGCAGGGCAGGTTTAGTAGCTACTCAGCTCCATGGTTTAGAAGGATCTGAACTTTACTGAGTTTCTTTACTATACTGACTTTCCATGAGTTTAATGTGGAGAGCTCTGAAAAGTCAAGGCAAACTTTACAGCTCTCAATAAGTCATGCAGGTATTGTTGCAAAATATTATAGACTGAATAAATTAGAAACCGTATGATGTTCTAAAATACTTCTGAAGCTTCTTCTAAAATAGCTTCTTCTTTCATTCTAAATTACACTTTCTGGTGCCTTTATGACTATATGTGACTGTATCCGCATTTGTGTCCCACGTTCCGTTTCCCACAGCTGCTCTCAACACTTCCTGGTTTTGTTATGGTGCAACTTGTGTGGTTAAACTGGGAACACGTTTCTCTTCCTATATAAGTCAAGCTTATTCGTGTGCTCTGAGTCTGAAATCTACAGAGTCATGCAGAATGAGTCCAAGTAGAAATGTTGCATTCCACTTGGTTTAGTGTAGTTTTACTGTAGTTTTGCTCTTACGCCTCGATTAGACCAACAGCGTCATTGCGTTTTGGTACACCAGAAGTACATTCATTTCCAATGGAAAGCTCAGTTTGCCTTGCAGCATTGAGTTGCAGAGGCAGTTGCAGTGCGTTCTGTGTGATGTATACATTGGATTTATCCAAGGTATGCATAAAATTGTATGCGTCAACTTGACAGAACTAGTAAGCAAAAGGTGAATGTTGAACTTTTGTTGCATTCATATCCACTAAAATGTTTGACTGCAGAATTGATTACGCAGGATTGATGCAATGACGTTGTCGGTCTGATCGTGGCGTTAGACTTTAACAGAACTTTGACAAAGAGCTTCCTCTCTGACTCCTCGTGGCCTGAATTCATAAAGCGTCTCAGAGTAGGAGTGCTGATCCAGGATTAGGTCAGAAGGAGAATGTCATCCATCTTCTTGACGGCTTCCTCCACATATGCATGGTGTTTGTTACACAGTATGTGTAGTGTGAACAGGATCCTCCTCTTCCTCAGAACTTTACATCTATTAGCTCTACGGGAGAATATCTATTGGAGATAATACAGGTATTCACCATTGGGAAAGCACTGAGTTTGTAGTTCATTTGAGAATGACCAGAAAATAAGTGCTGGTCCACAACTGGATAGTTGGCTGATTTGGTGATGGCTACTACACTCCATTAGTTATGGTATCTAACTTTTAGGTCAGACATGTGAATAACAGTCATGGACCGTAAACCTCAGAGTACTACTGTATTTAACAGTCACAGTGCACAGAGAATACATTTCTATACAGGCCTAGGGATTGGGTTACTTCGTTTGATGACTTCACTGCTTCTCAGTCTCCACATGCCTCTCCAGTTACAGACTGGTGCATGTCTGATCACGTACGGGGGATGGCGGACCAGACCCACTGTGCACACTGCATACTTTACTGAGTTTCCATGGAATTTCCTTCTGACATTGGAGAATAACAACAGCTCTTTCAAGATTCTACACAAATATGTGGGAGAGAAAAGAGTAGCTAATGCAATGGAACAAATACAGTTAGATCCAGTTATATGCATCAAAGTGAAAGAGTGAGAGAGATAAAAAGAGATCAACATAGACAGAAAGAAAGGGGAGAAGTTTCCCCATAGTACCTGGCTGGGCTCCCAATGTGGACGACTTGGCATGTGGACAACGATCCAGGCAGATCTGTCCCTCTCCGGTTCCTATGGATACTCCTTCCTTGAGGCTCCAACTTCACTGAGCAGCCAGCGACATAGCAGCGCAGACAAAAAAGTAGAAGAAAAAAAGTTGTTTGGCTTCTCTTCCTGTGAGTGATGTCACATCCTGCCTTTGTCTGAGAGGCCCCTGCTGTCTCTGTGTGACTATCTATGTGTGTTTATGTGTGCATGGAAGACCTATAAATCGACAGAGGAGGTTCCTGTACTATAGGGGCGGGTAGAGGCCACTCCGGGCCATCTCTCAACCCTCCCTCTCTGCCACTCCTCTTTCTCTCTTTCTCTCTACTTATCCTGTAGGAAAGCAGCCCGTCCCCCTTAGCCAACCAGGCCCAGCCCTCATGTGGGAGCTCTGGGAAAAAACAAACCACCTTATTATCCCACACAGCCAGAGCAGGGGGAGCAGACACACACTGCGCATAAGCACTGCTGGCCTCTTTGCATGCAGTCTCTCGCTCTCTCTTTACCATTTCTCAAAAACATATAATTTCACTGTCATTGCCAAGATATAACCAAATCCATCAATTTTGACTAGCAGAAATGTATTGTGTGGTGCCACATGTACACAATCAAGTGTCACAAATCTAAAAAGGAGCCGAATTCCAGAGAAAATAGCTGTGAGTAATCAAATTCAGCATGTTTCCCACAAATTGCCTTGTTCACCAGCTCCCTTTCACAGTAAAACGGTAAGGCTTGTTTGTTCCCTGATGGTCTAACGATGCTGTGGACACCATTCAGAGGAAGAGTTCTCTGTAGTTCAAAGTTACCTGGTCAGACACTGGCTGCATTCAGAGGATCCTGGTCTTTATGAGACTAACACCCTCCTGCACTGCCGTGATAAAGCAGTGGGCTCCAGGCCTGCAGGGTGAGATAAAAGGAGGACCGGCAGAGAGAGAGAGAGAGAGAGAGCAGGCCTCTCTCTCTGAAGTGCATGTCATGTAGGGAAGACACTTACCCGCTTACCCGCTTGGTATGTTACTGTGAATAAATGGTCCAATTGTAATTGACCATAACATGTTATGTACTGTGTTTTACATAATAATTATAACAGATTTACAACCTATTAAGCAAGAATAGTCCTCTACTCAATCAAATAATGTTGAATATTGATCATCAAAGTGTATATTTCAAATTCATGACTTCTGTATCTCACAGCTGCAATGAAGAGGTTTTCATGGAATTACAGGTAGAAGTCCACATGCAGTGATCCACAACATCCACTGGATGTCATCATCTCCATATCTCTTGGTCCTGAGGGCTCAGAAAGGAGAGAAGTTCCTCATGAAATCCAGAGCTTAAACAGAAGCTACAGTCAATAAGTCATTGCCAATAATCAATAAAGAAATTAATGTTAGATTTACAAAAATGCGGTGCAATGCCAAGCTTTGCATTGCTATGACAAGCCTTTCCCTTTCACACTAAGTGAAATAAAAAATATGAAAGATTAGAAATTTACCACACAAATTATAGCAGAGTAATATGTTAAATGATACCACTGCTGAATAGGACAGTATAGAGTAATTAGACATAATAAAACAGCTTATAACAGAACTGTGCTAGAGGCGTCACTATAGACCGGTTTCGATCCTGTGATCAGGAGTCCTATAGGACGGTGCACAATTGGCCCAGCATTGTCCGGGTTAGGGGAGGGTTTGGCAGAGGGGGCTTTACTTGACTCATCGCGCTCTAGCGACTCCTTGTGCCGGGCTGGGCGCCTGCAGGCTGACTTTGGTCTTCATTTGAACTGTGTTTCTTCCGACACATTGGTGCAGCTGGCTTCCGGGTTAAACGAGCGGGTGTTAAGAAGCGGGGTTTGGCAGGTCATGTTTTGGAGGACGCATGCCTCGACCTTCGCCTCTCCTGAGCCATTTGGGAAGTTGCAGGATCATAATGAGACAAGATCAT